GATATTTCTAAAACCAAATTTGTAGTTCAAGTAGTAAAAATTCCTAAAGGGGCCAAGGGGAAAAAAATATTAAATTTAGTTGATGACATAATAAAAAAATCTAGTATTATTAGAATTAAGAATAATAATGATAATTTATGCTGTCCAAGAGCTATTGTTGTTGCTTTAGCTAACTCTATAGAATATTCTGCTAATAAAACAAAAAATATCTTAGGTAAAGAATTAAATGAAAATAAAATAAAATATCTTAAAGAGGGTAGATCAATTCAAAAAGAACTTGCATTAAAATTATGTAGTTTATTAAAAACATATAACTCACAAGGCTTTACGTTAGATGATATTTATAATGTCGAATGTATTTTAAAAATTCAAATAAATATTATATGTGCTCAAAATCAAAATAAGATAATCTATAAAGGAATAGATAGAGATATAAAAATCTATTTATTTAAAACAGGTAATCACTTTGATGTCATTACTAAAATTAAAGGATTTTATGGCGTTTCTTATTATTGTGATAAATGCGATACACCATATAGTGACAAAGATAAACATAAATGTAAAGATAAAAAAGAACTATGTTTATTATGTAAAAAACTTAAACATTTAAGTAAAAAGGAAAGAGTGTACTGTGAAAAATGTAATAGATATTGCTTTAATCAAGAATGTCTTGAAAGTCATCAGAAAGTTTGTGAAGTAGCTTTTAAATGTAAGGTTTGTAATAAAATCTGCATGAGAAGTGATAAACACAAATGCGGAATAGAGAAATGTATAAATTGTTGGAAAGAAGTCGAAATAGCAAAACATAAATGTTACATTCAATGGCTTAGTCAGAGAGGAGGTAGATGTAAAAGAGAAATTTGCTTATGTAAAGGTAACATGGATGAAAATATTAAAAATATTGAAGATTGTAATCTTAAAGAACTAAGAATTAAAGCAAAAGAAGATAAAGTGAAACAATATAGTAAACTGAATAAAAAAGAATTATTAGATTTACTATACCCATTTCCTTTTGCAAATGAGATTTTTGGTGAGAGTGAAGAACCAAACCTATCAAAATGTACCTATACAGAAAAATATTTATTCTTGGATTATGAGGCTCAACAAGAAACTGGTACACATATTCCAAACTTAATAATTGTTTCTGATTTTATAGGTAAAATATACAAATTTGACACAAATAATGAATTATGTAAATGGTTAATATCAAGTATACATGCAGATTTTACATGTATAGCGCACAATTCGAAAGCCTATGACTCTCAATTTATACTAAAATATTGTGTTGAAAATACTCTTAAGCCTGCAGCAACTTACAATGGTTCAAAATTAATGTTTTTAAAAATTCCAGTAATAAATCTAAAAATTATCGACAGTAGTAATTTTATTCAGGGTCCCTTAGCAAATTTTCCTAAAACATTTGGTTTATCTGAATTAAAAAAAGGATTTTTTCCTCATTTATTTAATACTGTAGAAAATGCTAATTATATTGGGTCTATTCCTGATAAAAAATACTACTGTTTTGATCAAATGAAACCTGAATTAAGAGAAGAATTTTTAAAATGGTATTTACTAAAAAAACAAGAAAATTACATTTTTGACATGAAGAAAGAGCTTTTAGAGTATTGTACATCAGATGTTGACATTTTGAGAAGAGGTAGTTTGAAATTTAGAGGAGATTTTTTAGAAATAGCTAATATTGACCCTTTTAAATATGTAACCATAGCAGGTGTTTGTATGGCTATATATAGATCAACATTTCTAAAAAAAGACACTATAGCTGTTTTAGATAAAGAGAAAAATGAAACCTATTCTAAACAGTCTATAATGTGGATACAACATTTTAATAACAAAAATATCTGTCATGCCTTAAATGGTGGTGAAAAAGAAATATTAGGTGTTAGAGTTGACGGCTTTGATGAAAAATTAAAAACTGTGTACCAATATCATATGTGTTTTTGGCATGGTTGTACTAGATGTTTTAGTGACGGAGAAATAATTAATAATATAAATAATGAGACAATGGAGGATCTATTTGAAAAAACCACTAACAGAAATATTATAATAAAAAATGCAGGATATAATCTTGTTGAAATATGGGAATGTGACTGGATAAACAGTGATGTATACAAAAGATTGAATAAAAACTTGAATGAAATCGATGTAGTAGGACCTATTAATCCGAGAGATGCTTTCTATGGGGGTAGAACAAATACTATAAAACTAAGAGTAAATAATACAAAAAAAATACAAGAAAATACAAAAATACGCTACATTGATGTATGTAGTCTATATCCTACTGTAAACTATTATGATTATTATCCTATTGGACATCCGGATAAAATATCTGAACCAAAAGTATTTGACAAAAAATGGTTTGGCTTGATTAAATGCAAAGTATTACCTCCAAATAATCTTTACCATCCTGTACTACCTATAAAAGTAAAAATGGAAAAAAATGTAAAATTATTATTTCCATTATGTTATAAATGTGCTTCTGAACAAATTAAAAAATGTACTCATTCTGAAGCTGAAAGGCAATTTATAGGAACTTGGACTACAGATGAAATTAAAAAAGCTCTGGAGAAAGGATACATTATAAAAAAAATTTATGAAGTATGGAATTTCAAAAAAAAATCATCAAACCTGTTTAAAAAATATGTGAATTATTTCATAAAAATAAAATTAGAAAGTTCTAAACATAAGTACAATTCTAATGAAGAGTATATAAAAACAATTTTTGATAAAATGGGCATTTTGATAGATAAAGATAAAATATGCTATAATCCAGGTAGAAGAGCTATAGCTAAAATATGCTTATGTAGTCTATGGGGAAAATTTGGACAAAGACAAAATATGAAGAAAACTAAATTTATTACTGACTCTAAAAGTTTCTATAAAATACTATTAGATGAAAGATTAGAAAACATCAATATAACAATATTAAACGATGATATGTTACAAATGGTATACAACTTTAAAGATCAATATGTAGAAAATAATCATAACACCAATATTTTAATAGCTCTATTTACCACTTCAAGTGCAAGATTAAGACTTTATAAAATATTAGATAAACTAGGTAGAGCTGTAATTTATTTTGATACGGATTCTATTTTCTATATAGATGACGGTAATAATACAATTAAAACAGGAGAAATGCTAGGAGAATGGAATGATGAACTTGGTGAAGGTGTATACATAACAGACTGGGCTTCAACTGGTCCTAAAAGCTATTATTATAAAACAAATAAAAATAATTGTAAAACAGTAATAAAAGGATTTACTTTAAATTATCAAAATTTACAAAAACTTAATGGAGAATCAATGATTAAATTAATTGAAGAAAATAACAGAGAGAATAGTGTTGAATTAGAATACAATCAAATGGTACCAGACAAAATTAGTAAAAATATAATTAATAAAAAAACTAAAAAAAAATTCACATTCGATTATGACAAAAGAATAATATTATCAAATTATGACACTGTACCATATGGGTATAAATTAAGTTAAATATAATTATTTCTATACATAATAATAAATTTTTCATACTACTAATTATGTTTTTGAGTCTAAGTTTACTAGCTAGATCTGCAACAATTACCATTTCAAACCGGACTTTCAATTCGACATCTACAAATATTGAGATTACAATTCAACATCTCACCTATACATTAAAACTGGAATTTCAATTCAACAATTACAAACTTGGGATTTCAATTCAACACCTACAAACTTGGAATTTCAATTCAATATTTTATTTTTATTTGTAAATATTTAAGTTGTAAACAAATGATACTTGAGTGATTTTTGTTGGAAAAACTGTTTCATATATCTATATATATGTATAGACTTATAGAGCAATTTAGACGACTAAAAACGGCTACAGTATGCCCACGAATGAGTCAAAACTCAATAGTGGCTTGTATTTATAACCTCGAAAAACATGATGCAATATTACACAATAATGACGAAATCTAGAGAAGAAGAACCTTCTAGAATGTTCTATTTGACGTCAGAAAACTTGATATTACGAATTAATACCACTATCCTATAAACGGAATAGCTAATGGTGTGCTGTAATATACTTTTTCATATAATATATATAAAAAAAAAAACACGAAAATACTTTGGTTGTTATTTGTTTACAATTTATTTATGATTGGCGGAAAATTTATATTTTTAACAGAATTTAAAGTACTTTTTTTGTAATATCTGTAATGTTTATTGCAATAACTCGAAATATCTGTTATAATATATCTAAATTATTGTAATATCTATAAATAACTCTAAATATCTGTAATGCTTAAAATATTTATTGTAATATGTCTACATTTTTGTAAATTTTCATTTCTGTAATATTTAACAGATTTTATGTTGAAAATAAATTTTGGTAAGTGGGGTGAACGTACCTTGCTTACTACTGACAGTAGGAGGGAAACGCAAGCAGCGGCCCCCTAGAACGCAGGCAGTGGTGCTGGAGAGTCCTACGCCGACACTGTCAAGGAGGTGAAGGAGACTGTCCGCAAGGAGTCCCTCACCTTTGACATAACGACCAGGAGAGCGAAGTCTGGCAACTTGGTCTTGGTGACCCACAGCAAGGAACATGCAGACAGCTTGGCTCACGCCCTCAAGGATCACTTTGGCGATTCCAGGGGCATCAGGCGCCCTAATCCGCGCGTTGCACTACTGCTCATCGCCATCGAAGACTCGGTCAACGAAGAAGAGCTCAGTAAGATCCTTGAGGCACATGACGTAGGTCTGAAGCCTACTAACAGTGTCAAGATCAGAGAAGACACCAACGGCACTAGCACAGCCATCAGCAGGGTTCCTCTGAAGCCGAGTCTCAAGCTAGCCCGTCTTAAGTAACTAAGAATCGGTTGGGCTCTCTGTCGTGTCAAGGAATTTGCTACCAACAGCCAAATCTGTCCGAGGTATCATGCTGCCGGGCACGCCACTGCAGATTGCACCGGCCAGGAAAAGAGAAAGTGCTTCAGATGCAGAGAAGTCGGACACCTCATAGCTTCCTGCCAAGTACCCCCCACCAATGGCAACCTCGAAGATGCAAAGAGGAAGGCAATCGTTGCTCAGGTAACCAGTCCCTCCACGTTAAAATGATCAAGGTTATCCAAATTAACCTTAACCACTGCTGGACTGCACAGCAACTCATATCCCAAACAGTCAGGGACCGGAACATTGACGTTCTGCTCATCAGCGACTATCACCGGGGCTTTGAGGGCGATCCACGCTGGATCGATAGTGCTGACCTCAAGTGCGGGGTGCTCGTCACCAGCCGTCGCCTTCACTGCCCATCACAGACAGAGGAGCCGGTCCTGGCTTCGCCTGGGCTAGGATTGGCAGCACCTATTACTTCAGCTGCTACTGGACGCCGAACTGCATGCTGCTGAAATTCTATAACTTCCTAAACGGAGTCGAATGGGCCATTCGGGATTCGGTAGACAACGACGACAACCTCATCGTTGCTGGCGACTTCAACTCTCAATCGGCGGAATAGGGCTCAGCCAGGGACGGCCCCAGGGGCACGATGCTGTCTGGCCTAGCTGCATCTCTGGGCCTGCTGCCATGCAACGTGGGCTCTGTGCCAACCTACAGCCGTGTCAACGTGGAGTCAGTCATCGACGTGACGTTTGCTCGCTTTCCACCGAATGCAAGCCCCCCAGTAGCGAATTGGTCCGTCCTCACGGAGCTCAACTCAGCAAGCGACCACTTCTACGTGGAGTTTACCGTGGCCAACTCATCCGCTATCCCAACTTTGGCGCCGGTCGTCCGCATCAAGAAACTCTCCCCTGAAGCCCTCGAGGAACACTGGAGACGAGCCAGGGAGGCCTCACTCCCACTACCACCATCCGCGTCCGCGGCGGATCACGTGGCACACCTACAACCGTTCCTGGTCGACTCCTGCGACGCCGCGATGCCGCGCAGAACCTCATTCCAGGAAAAAATAGCGGTGCACTGGTGGTGCAAGGAAATTGCAGACTTGCGGAAAACCTCCATCGCCGCCCGCAGGCAGTACCAGCGCGCGGGACGCCGGGCAGATACCTCAGACCGAGAAGCGGCCTTTATAACGTACAACCAAGCCAGAAAACAGCTGAGACTCGCTATCAGGAAATCGCAGGAAGCAAGTTGGAAGGAGCTCTGCGACAGGGTAGAAAGTGACCCGTGGGGCGTACCTTACAGGCTGGTGATGAAGAGGCTCGGAAGCCGTTTCCCAACCATGGCCGCACTCACAATCGCGCGCGGCCTATTCCCAGCGTCACCGCCGATCGATTGGACGGAGATCCCGATCACAACAGGAGAATCTACAGAGCTCGTTCCACTTGAGGAAGAGGCGCCGTCATTCACAAGGGATGAACTGAAGCTGGCGGCTGGGAGATTTCCATCGGGGAAGGCACCTGGACCCGACCTGGTCCCGAACGAGGTGATCAAGATGGCAGCATTCAGGCATCCGGGGATCTTCCTCACCGCGTACAATGCCTGCATTCAGTCGGGACACTTCCCAGCTCGCACAAGGGTCAATCTAAGCCCCTCGACCAACCGTCAAGCTACAGGCCCATAAGCCTCCTCGATGGCGCAGGGAAGCTACTGGAAAGACTTATTCTCCGAAGACTAGGGAAGCACATCGACTCGGTGAAAGGTCTCAGCGACTCCCAGTTCGGCTTCAGGAAATCAAGGTCCACGACAGACGCCATCTCAAGGGTCCTGCAAATGGCTCGGGCAGCTGGCGCCGGGGCGGCCCAGAACATGGACCTCTGTGCGGTTGTCACCCTGGACGTCAGGAATGCGTTCAACTCGGCACCCTGGAAGCTGATTGATGCATCGCTGCAGTGGTGTAACACTCCCGAGCACCTGATCAACGTCATTCGATCGTACATGTCCAACCGGTCAGTCCTCATCGACAGGGACCCCGACACCAACGCAGCGCATCTCCCTGTATCGTTCGGCGTTCCGCAGGGGTCGGTTTTGGGCCCCACTCTGTGGAACCTCTTCTACGACGGTGTTCTAAGACTCAGTGTTCCAGGCCCGACCAGGCTCATAGCGTTCGCCGACGACGTGGCCGTCGTCGCAGTGGCCCACAATGCGGAGCTACTGGAGCTGGCCATGAATTCAGCACTCTCGGCCGTCAGCACCTGGATGGCCGAAAACGGACTGTCGCTGGCCCCAGAGAAGTCGGAGAGCATCGTGCTGACCAACAAGTATGCCTATCGGCAACCAGAGTTTGCCATGAATGGCTGTCCCGTTCCGGTGAAGAGTTCACTCCGCTACCTCCGCGTTCACCTGGACACCAGACTGTCCTTCGTGGAGCATGCACGTGTGGTAGCTGCTGGAGCCAATAAGGCAGCAACCGCCCTGGGTAGGCTCATGCCGAACACCGGAGGTCCCACTCAGTCCAAGCGTCAACTCCTGATGAGCGTCGTATACAGCAGGCTGCTGTATGGGGCCCAGATCTGGGCGGACGAAGTCTCCAGTACTAAAAAGGCAAAGAGCCTAATGACCCAAGCCCAGAGGTGCGCAGCACTGAGAGTGGCTCGCTGCTACCGCACGGTCTCGGACATGGCAGCGCTAATATTGGAAAGAATGCCTCAGGCCCCACACCTGGCGCACGAGAGGAAGAGCTACGCAGAGTCGAGGAGAACAGGCACGCCCCACGCCAAACCAGAGTTGCGGAAAGAGGTCATTCGCCAGTGGCAGTCCACCTGGGATGCCACCAGCAAGGGTTCATGGACGAAACGGCTGATCCCGGACGTGGGCAGATGGTGGTACTATGGCCCCAAGACAACCACATACCGTATGTCGCAGGCACTGTCGGGTCATGGTTGCTTTCAAGCATACCTATTCAAGAGGGCTAGAGCACAAAGCCCGGCGTGCATGCATTGCACCGCAGTCCACGATGACGCAGAGCATACCATCTTCAACTGTCCCTTCTGGAACGATTCCAGAGCGGAACTGACAAGATCCCTCGGCAGACCATCTCGCCCCGAGGATGTGGCTGACCTATTGTGTGGTCCTATTCAAGAGGATCTGCCAACGGAGAGATGTCAGCAGGTCAGGTTGTTGGCGGCAGCAAGGAGGAACTCAAGCCTTTTCGCAGAAATGGTTGAGTCCATATTGGGCCAAAAGGAGACGCTGGAGAGAGCGAGGCAGAAAGCGGCAGCAGCAGCCACATAAACATAAACTAGTTAAGCAAATAAATGTAGGCCGAAGGCCAAAAACAGGGCGGTTAGAGGCCCCCATTTCTTTTTAATTGTAAAAATTAGTAAAATTAAGTAATAATTGTATTTGCTGTTATTATGTAAATAAATGATGTGACCAGGGAGGCTGCAATGGGAACACCATATTTCCCTCCCTGGCCACGATTCCAAAACGAAAAAAAAAAAAAAAAAAAAAAAGATATTAGGTAATCAATAGAAGTTAAGTTTGTTTACTAAATTAATAATTAGCTATAACTTATAAGTAGAGACCAGATTTTTATGTTTTTAGATATCTTTACTGAGAGTAAATTGGATAAGCTTTCTCAACAATTCATTTATCTAGGAACTGATATACAAACATTTTTAGTGCATAAAAAAGAATATTTTGTGTAAAAAACATGTTTTAATAATATATTCGGTTCAAATTTGAATATTTCATAAAAATATATAAAGATAATAAAACAATTTAACATTTATTTTTATTATTTAAAACTTGTATTTAATATTATCATAATCCATAGACCTATAAACTAATGGACTGCGCCTCCCTCACCACCCAGCCATCACTGAGTGGCGCCAATATAGAGTGAGTGAGAAAGAACATTTTGGGGGAATCTTGGTGGAGAATTCATCTCTAAAATTATTTATTCCATGAAAATATTAAGTTATCACAATATTATGTGCTGCTGTTAACAGTCATCAATTCAATAAAATTAAAATACGTAACTACATTTTTTGAGTTTTATTTTTTGTTTCCTTTTCTACATTCAACTTTATTAAATTATTAGTTCATAGATGATGTAACGCACACCCACGTACAGAAGACGGTGACAGGATGAGATGGTAGATTTCAGTAGTGACTGGTAGTGCATAATTCGGTAGTACCAACCTCGTGTTCTGCACTTCTGCCGCACGGTGCACCGCGACCTTGAACAACAAATACGACTTGACGAACGCAACAACTTCGATTTTCGAACACAACGACGATGGCAAAACAATTTCGATTAACGCACGAACTAGCACCCTACGGAGTACAAAGTTAAACGTGAAATACGGACAACCACTACTATCACAGAATAGAACGTTACTGAGTATCGACACTCACTCTAGACGCACATTCGTATCCCACTTCCGAAATATATTATTATGTTAACTGTCAGGATTTAACAATAATAATATAATGACTTTCGCTAGGTAAATTTACTTTTATTCAACTCTGTAACAAATCACTTTAATATCACAACGGTGAAATTCTGGCGGGCACAAGTGACAGGTCGCCTGAGCCGCACAACACCAACTGGTTTACTCTCATTAGGTAACGATATCTGCAGCACAAGCAATAACAACAGTACCGCTCCTAGTGAGAGTTTACATTATTAGCCATCTGTGGGACAATTTAATTTATATATTAAAAATGTAAAACTATTTTTACTAATTTCCAGTTGCAATTGTAATTTATAACTTCATTTATATACATTTTTTATTATTATTATTATAACTAGCTATCTGTGGGACAATTTAATATATATATTAATACAATTTTTGCTTTAAATTATATTTTATACTTACCAATAAGTTATGTGTATTCTTTACTTATACTAGGTATTTATTGATTATTATATTAAATTGTACATATACTATATAGGCATGTATCACTCACCGAAATGACGCGCGACAATATTACACCGGCGCCCAATTTACCGCGAACAAATTACCACGACCAATTTACCGCGATGTATTTACGTGACACCACATATAATATGGGCTGATTGCTGATACCGAATTGGTTCCCAAGCTCCAACTCCACGTGCCGAATTGGTTCCCGTTAAAAAAAGGTATTTTATTAATTATAACCGAATTGGTTCCCGTTTCATTACGCACATTTTCCTTCTCAATTTTACAGGATTAGGACTGTCAACTTAAAAGTAGGTTTGGCTAAAAATGTGTGTAATAAAAAAAATGATATAATATATAAAATGTTAAATTGTTGATTTGGAAGTCAACTAGTCATCACTTAGGTTAGGTGTCAAAATACAAATAATAATATTAAAAAAAATACAAATATTTAAAATCGTTGATTTGCAAATTTGAAGCAAACTTTCTTTATGTATTCAATTCACGGAAGCTTCTCATTAATGTACTCAGTCATACAATTTTCCAAGTATATGTTATTTATTTCCTGTTTGCTAGTAAGTTTCCTAGTGTTATTACTTTGAAATTTAATATAATTTAATGTCTGAATGCTGTTTAAAGTCTCCATAAAATAAAATATATTAGGATGGGCACTTGTAAATTCTTTATTCAGCTTTGAATGGAACGATTCGCAACAATTTGTATTTCAATCAATATTTTTGTCAAATCTAGCCCAAATTTTCGGTGGAAATATACTGTCTTACTGTCATTATGTATGTATCATGGATGTAGTGAAAGAACTGATCCAATTTTGGGCAGCAAGGTTTTATGGCCGTAAAATCATTATAGAAACAGTCTTCGACGTCTTCAGGCGATAATAAGGGCAGTTTAAAAAATAGTTTCAGAAGTTGACCGATTTCTGAAATATTATCTTTAAATTCATTGGAGGGACCAAATTGTTGAATTGTTCTCCACCATGACTGACATAAATGGAATCTGCAACCTCTAATTGTAACTTGCTGTAGCTGTGAAGTATGGCACTATGAACAGCTGCTTCAAAACCAACGAAAATCGTGCCAACTGTTAGATATTTTGCGACCTTATTTAATGCAAGTATGTAAATTGTAAGTGTCAGTAGGTAGTCTTGTTCGGGAGTAGGCTGAATACGACAGGAACATAGTTATTTTGTACCTTGATAAAAATAGAAAATAATTGGTAAAATCGCTTAGGACAACTTTTGAATGTTCCATCGACAAATAACATAGTGGCTTTCTTGAGTTGTTCCAAGTTCTGCGTGCATGTAAATGTAAATATATTGTTGACAGAATCATTGTCATAAATAAAGTTTTCTTCGAGATTAGTCATAAACGAAAATTCACTGACATTTTTGTGCAGTTATTTGAGATTATAAGGTAAATTGGGAATTGTTCTTAATCCAGCAGTATTCAAATTTGTACGCACTCTTTTAATATCAGTTTGAAGTAGTGACTCACTTTTACTGTTTGAAGCTACCTCCTTGCGTATAATTTTAGATGGTCGCTCTGTAATAAGTTCGTCACATTTTCTTTTTAATGAATTTGTCAATTGTTGTCGCACAAGTTTACCATCGCCTTCTTTTTCATGGGTATGTTAAGACTTCTTCACATAAAAAATCTCCGATTAATTGAACGAATCCAGTACATTTTCGTTTTGTACATATCCACCTCTGTATGTTATCCTCTGCAAGGTTCTTTTGGAATCCAAACTTGTAATTGTCAATAATCAACAACTTTGTTCCGTTTTCACTAAGCATAAACTCCATAATTACGAAAAATTAAAATCGAAATACAAATTTCAAATTTATATAGGTTATAGATAGGTTGATGTAGTCCCATCACACGCACCTGAGTACCGTTCCCGAGCCGTTTTTTGTTTCCAACCAAAACTCCGAACCGATCTCCGTGATTTCTGAGCCCATTGCTTCGTCTCGACCCCGTCGTCACGCAAAGACATCGCGCGTCGAAATCCGACCAGCATCGGCTGAGATCACGACATAACAGTTTTCAAAATCCGCCGACCAGCCAAAAACAGCGACCGACTCGCGACCGATGGCTTAAAATCTTCGCAAGGCCACCACTAAGAGATAAACCATCGTGCGCGAACGTTAGCGAAATAGCCACAGAGTAACGGTGCCCTAAGCCCCCAAGGCAGGCCGCCCGACCGCACGGCATCTCGCGACTCGCCGATCGTCGACGAACCGATCAATGTACACACCCGTTACACCAAACAATCCGCACCACCCGTGCGCATCTTTTGGTGTACTCAGCGGGTCCGTAGTCGCTCGTCAGAATAAATCCGACGCCGTTTTGCGACGGTGCCCCGATCAAGTGCTACCGTGCTACGCAGGCGCTTAAAGTGCACCGAATTAGCCGTCCACGACCTCGACCGCTAAAAATCGTTCGCGCAATTAGTGCTCAGTGATCACATGGGGTTATTAAGAGTTCGTTTGTCCGTTTCGCCTAAGAACTCAGTGCGTCAGACCGATATAAGTGATCAAAAAAACCGTTCCACAAAAGCAGACCTCCAACTGCAAGCAAACGACCCACGATAAGGTACGTCAGCTGATCCGCTCCGCCTCATCAAGCCCGAACTAATAAGACCCCGAGGTGGAAAATCTGACCGGAAGGGCCCAGGTGAGTGAACTATAACACTACCCCATAAGGTTAACACGGCCGCCCGCCTTATCACACGTCCAGGTACGCGAAGATAACGGATTTTGACACTGCCATCGGGTCGGTCGAAAACGACATTCGGATTCTAACACCGCGATCGCGTCGGTCGAAAAGCGAAAAATTCGAAAACGCCGGTGAGCGTCAACCAGCGCTGCGGAAAACAGCCACGCGGCTTGGGCAGCGGCCCCCACCCCTACGCGAAAGTTTTCCCCTCACCCCGTTCTGAAAAAAAAACCCTCAAGTCCAGCTATAAAGGTCCCTCGACCCTAACACTCGGCCACAAGGCTCAGCGGTACCTCCCAGACGAGGTCCGACCCAACCCTTTTTTTTTCTTTTTCTCTTCCCCTGGCCACCGGACCCGCTTTTCCCGGTTGGGAAGCCATGTCGTGCTCAAACGACACTGATTCCGAATGGGACATAGATCACGACCAGAAAAAAAACCCGCAGTTCAAAAGGAAGCAACAAAGCTCACCTAAACCGAACATCATCGAGAAGACTAAAATCCTGAAAACGACAAAAGTGCAAAGAGTGCCAAAAGTTCCGACCACCACAGACACAGTTGGCGCATTATGCACTGCAACAAAGGCGACTGAATACGCTTGCCAAATGGTCCAAGGTCTCGCTGACGCATTCTTCAACGAAGAACACATTGGTGCGTGCATATCCAAAGTGGCGAAGGCCCTTGAACAGGTTTGCAAGGCCTTGCAGCACGTCATCACGGACCGAGATGACACAGCCTCCAGCCTGCAACAAAAGAAAAGGGACGCCACCCCCAGCGCATGCTTTTCCAATCTACCGACGGACATCAATTGACACGCACCCCGCAGCTCAAGCATCAAGGATAGCGACATCTTCCAAAACCGCAAAAAACAACCAACCAGCAACCAGGGGTAAGGGCAGGGAAAAAAAGCCCCCCAAAGGAAAACTGGACAACAGGACTCCCGAGGGCAAACCCTCTGCGCAGGCGAAGGCTGCACCACCAGCAGAGTCAGTAAAACCGCTAGAAAAGCATCAGGCAGAGCCTGAAGAAGAGCCCTACACACTGGTCGAGAAGGAAACTAGAAAGCCACCCGCCCCTAAACCCCAGACTGCTAGAAGAACCATGCAGAGACCCGCAGCCGTTCTGGTCAAGGTCGCAGCCGGCTGGACCTACGCCGACACCCTGCGCGCGGTCAGAGATACCGAGTTCGACTTCGAGGCCATGGGCACTAACGTCTATGAGAAAGACGATAAAAGGCGACTTCTTGGTGGAACTGACCAAAGGGGCCAAGGCCACGGCGGCCACCTCGGTCATCCGTGATAAACTGGTCGACCAGGCTCCGACACACCGCCGAAGTCCTGGACGCGATCCGCAAGACCATACGCGACGACGACCTCCCCTCTGCAGAGGAAAGCAAGATCACTGGACTATGGGCCACTCGGGAAGGGCGTCAAATGGCCACCGCCACTGTCCCAATCTCCATCAGCAGAACCCTTACATCCATCCACGTCGGCTGGACACAGTGCCGCGTCCGCCTGCGCAGACCCGAACCCGCTAGGTGCTACAGGTGTCACGGCTTCGGCCACTCGACACGCCAGTGCACCGGCCCTGACCTCTCAACCGCCTGCAGGAGATGCGGCCTCACCGGTCACACCCAGACCACCTGCATGGAGACTGATGATCACTGCGGGGCGTGCGACCGCATGAAATCACCACGCGTACCACATAAGCCCGGCTCAGTGGCATGTGCGACCCGAAGGAAAGCCATCTCTGAGCTACACTCCTCCGCTCCAAGATGAATATCAACTTCCTCCAGATAAACCTTCAACGGAGCACCACGGCTCAGAGATTGGCATCACAGACCTCCGCTGAAATCGGCGCCCAGGTCCTACTGTTCTCCGAGCAAAACTGGAGTCCGGCTCGGGACGACCGATGGGTAGTCAGCACCAACGGCACCTGCGCAATCGTCCTAACACCCGTGGCCGACTTCGTAGCGGAAACCTCCGGGTCGGGCCGCGGATTCGCCTGGATGCAGACGAGAGGCGTGAGGTTTTACAGCTGCTACATCTTGAGAAACGACTCGGATGAACATTTCTTAACTTTCCTTGGCTGTCAGCTCTGTCCGCCGATCCAAGCTGTACCCTCATTCTAGGAGGCGACTTCAACGCCTGGTCACAAGAGTGGGGCTCGGCGCGGAACGATGCAAGAGGCGATCAACTGGCTGATCTGGCAGCCAGCTTGGACCTCCTCAGTCCTCGTCGCCAACTCGGGCACCACTCCTACCTACAGAAGAGTAAACCCTGAGACCACCATAGATGTCACCTTCTACCACCCATGACCACACTCCACTCTTCGAGGCTGGAAGGTGTTGGGCGAAGTCGAGTCGACTAGCGACCACCGCTACATAGGCTATTCTCTGGACAGTAACTCCGCAATCGAGGAACCTCCAGAACATCTCAGGGGATGGTCCTACAGACGGCTTGACGTTGAAGCACTGGTGTCACACCTGGTTGATGCGCCCCTTCCACTAAACGATGAAACCATCTCGGCCAACGAAGTTGCCGATTCACTGGTTAACTACCTCGAATCTGCCTACGATTCATGTATGCAGCTAAGGTCAGCTCCTCCGGTCGGAAGAAGACACGTCCACTGGTGGAACCAAGACATAAAGCTACTCCGCGAGGAATATGGAAAAGCACTCAGAAAATACTAGAGGGCAGGTCGCAGGCATGACCCACCCGGGCAGTTGGAACTCTTCCGGGTCACCTCCAAGGCAAAGAGGAAGGAACTCCAAAAAATGATCAAAGCCTCCCAGGCCAAAAGCTGGGCCGACCTGTGCGCGGCCGTGGACTCCGAACCATGGGGACTCCTGTACAGGGTCGTGACCAAACGTATAGGCCAGCTTCATCCGGGAATCGAAGCCAGAGGCATGGAGACAGATCGCAGATCACCTGTTCCCCAGCCCACCGGCGATGGACTGGTCACACGTACCTCTCCCTCCGGCAGACGCCGACGAAGATCTGACAGCACTGGAATTCACCACGGCCGAACTGCGCGAGGCTTCCACAAGGCTCCCGCCCGGCAAGGCAACCGGACCCGATGGCATTCCGAACCAGGTTCTGGCGAAAGTAACCTAACCTAACCTAACCTCCTCAGGCCACACACGCTCCTCAATGTGTTCAACAGCTGCTTGGTCCACAGCACATTCCCATCACGATGGAAGGAGTGCAGACTCGTGCTTCTACACAAAGGTCCCGGAAAATCAGTATCCGAACCGTCCAGCTACAGGCCACTGTGCATGCTCGACTCGACAGGCAAGTTACTAGAGCGGCTCATTCTCACGAGGCTCAATGACCACCTCGACAGCACCGGTCTTCGATCGCCATACCAGTACGGCTTCCGACGCGGCCGATCGACAGAGGACGCGATCAAGCGACTACTGGTGACAGCTCAAGGTGTGGCACAGGGGGCGGCACGGAACCGGGACCTGTGTGTGGCCGTCTCTTTAGACGTCAGGAACGCATTCAACACTGCGCCATGGAGAAGGATAGACGCCGCACTCCGCGAAAAAAAGGTCCCTTCGTACCTCATCCGACTCATCAGGTCCTATTTCCAAGACCGGTCCATACTGGTAGGCCAGACTCTCCTCCGGCGAAGTACCACGTGTGGCGTTCCTCAGGGCTCGGTCCTCGGACCAGCACTCTGGAACACTGGAACATCACTTCTCGAGTTAGAAATGCCTCAGGGCGTACAACTAGTGGCGTTCGTGGATGACGTTTGCGTCCTCGGCATCTCGCGGAATGGCGAGTCCACCGCGACGCTTATTAACCCGGTCCTCGAGGCGGTGGCTGAGTGGATGAACACTAATGGCCTCCAACTAGCTCCGGCCAAAACTGAGGCAATAGTTCTCACCAGAAAAAACTTGTACAACGACCCTGAGCTCATCGTCGAAGGTCATTTGATCCAAGCCAAACAATCCATGCGTTACCTCGGCGTCGAGCTTGATACAAGTCTAATGTTCACCAAGCACGTCCAACAGGCGTCGTCGAAGGCGTCCAAATCAGCGCTCACCATAGAGAGACTGATGCCCAACGTCGGAGGACCGTCGCAGTGCAAGAGAGCTCTCCTGGGAACAGTCGCCAACAGTAAAATACTGTAGGTTGCTTCAACCTAGGCCGCCCAAGGCACTAAAACGGCGAAGAACCGAAATGAGATGGCTAGGGCTCAGCGTACCGTCGCGATCCGCATCATACGAGCATACTACACCATCTCTGCCGACGGGTCTTCTCTGCTCACGTCCATGGTTCTGGCCGATCTTGTAGCTAACGAGAGGACCAGGATTCGCTAGCGCCTAGACGATCGAGAGGAGATTACGCCCAAAAGCGGAATAAAGAAGCAGGAAAGAGCCATCAACATTACAGCGTGGCAGGCAAGATGGGACCGTTCGCCAAACGCCAGATGGACTCATAGACTTCTCCCTGACGTGGGTCGCTGGCTGTCCAAGCCACCTCTAAGCCTCACGTACCACCTGACCCAGGCACTGTTCAGACACGGGTCCTTCAGATGATATCTGCACGACAGGGATCGGGTCGACGACAGCTATTGTTGCTACTGCATGGACCCAGACGACACGGTCGAGCATACGCGTTTCGTGTGCCCTAGGTGGGAGGACGAACGCCCCCGAATAACCAGGATTCTCCGACGGCCACCAGACCCCGGGGACGTCGAGGACATCCTGTGTGGCCCTCGACCCGAATAAATTCCAGAATGCGCTGTAAGCCGATTGAGACTCGAAGTTCAGTCCGCAACCAACCGACAAGTCCTGGTAGCCATGATGGAAACCATCATAACAAGCAAATCGGACGACGAACGACAAGAACAATCATAAGACAGAGCCGCAGCTAACAGGCGAAGAGCGCGGCAAGCTCCAGCCTGAGCTGCAAGGTATGAAGATCGTAGCATTGACGCACTACGCATTCGCTACCGTGAGTCATCGGAGGTGTCACCAACCACGTTCTTCATCCCCCACTTGTGACACCACGGGAGGGAAGGCGACCACTGCATCGCGGAACGAGAACGGGATTTCAGAGCGGCGGACTACGGTCGGCTCGCGAAAAGGAAACCAGAACGAGTTAGACAGGGCGGCGGACTCCGGTCGGCCTGGCAACACGAATCACCGAACCATATGATAAAATGAATAAAATGTATATTGTAAAAAAACGTAATGACCATTGTGAGGGGGCTAGGCGGGGTTTTGTCCCGCCTAACCTTCATTTTGGCTATCAGCCGGTGTGTTGTTGTATTTAGCAATAAACGGCGGTTATATGCGAAAGCAATTCCCTCGGCGTCGTCGGTTCTAAACAGTAAAAAAAAAAAAGGTTATAGACAGATTAAAGGACTATCAAAAACTACTAAAGGAAGTTGTTCAATGTGTTATTCGAGACTGTACAGTGCTCACTAACATTATTGTCATTCGTACATGGGATATAGATTATAGACGATCCTATACTATAAAATGACAAGGAAATCAGCTGTCTACAAGCAACCTGTGGAACGGAAAACGCAGGCTATAGTGAAACCGTGGAGTAAAAAATGAAGCACCGCTCCGTTTCCCCGGCCCGCCAGCCGTGTCCCGTCAATTCCTTATAGCGCGACCAATCGCGTACCTTCGCAGCGGCGGCGGTCGGTTTTAAAACTTTTTTCGTTATCACCTCTTTTCCTATCATTCACCGATTTTTGAAATTTTCGGAAAATTAGCTGTTTTTACACGACTTCGACCCTTTTGGTACTTTTAGATTCTGAGTGAAACGATGAATGTATTGATTTTAGTATTTTACAATGATGTGTCTTTTTTTTTTTTGTGTGTCTGTTATCACGTTTTAGGACAGTACAAGTGCTTGGATTTTCTTCAACAGTAGCTTTTCTGATAGTAAAGTGAATCTAGTTGGTATTTTGGGGGGTCAAAAGTAAAAATTCTCAGTAGTTTTCACTAGCTCCGGGAAAAACAACATAAAAATTAAGGAAAAACGGGAATTTTTAAGCAAAATCGGTTTTCCAAAAAATCGATTTTGGTTTTTGGTGTAACTCTAAAATAAATGAACGTATATACATGAAATTTTCACTAGTTGTTTACATTTGCATTTTATATACACCATAACATTTTAAAAAATTTTGATTTATTTTGAACTGTTTAGGGACATTTTCATTTTCCATTTTTTTTTAGTTTTTTTTCTAGAAATATCAATAAAATTTTATTTGTTGGTTGCGAAAGCTTGAAAATTTAATAGAAGGTTCCTAGTATATTGTTTCAAAGGCAGATGAAAAATATTAAAAATCCTTAGTCACAATTTTTTTTTTATAAGCATTTAAAGTTCAAAAATTGACAAAAAATGGAAAAATCACGAAAATTAGCAAATTATTTTGAGTTAAGAATTCGTAAAAATTTTTCTTTTTAAATCTAAGATGTGAAAATGTAATACAAGATTCCTTATAAGATTATCTACCTTTATTAAAAAAAAAAATGTCTATAAGAAAGTCAAATTAAATTTTTATGACCGTTTGAAATTCAAATTTTTACAACATTGGATATTCACTCGATTTCTCATGAAGCGATTTCCTTATTTTGTTGTATTTCAAAAACGAATAACTATAGATACATGAAAATTTTATTGAATGTTTATATTAGCATTTCCTATACACCATACAATTTTGAAAATATTTTGACTCTTTTTGAGCTGTTTACGGACATTTACAGCTTTCAATTTTTTTTAGTTTTTTTTTCTATAAATATCAATTAAGTTTTATCCGTTGGGCCAAAAAGTGTAAAAATTTAATACAAGGCTCCTGATATATTGTTACAATATCAGTTGAAAAATATTAAAAATACATAGGCACAGTTTTTTTTTATTAACATTTAGAGATCGAATTTTGACAAAATTTATCAAAATCTTGAAAATTATCAATCATTGTAATTAATAAATAATAAAATGTTCAGGTTTTATAGCTAAGGATTGCAAATTTAAAACCAAGCTTCTCATAAATAGTTCATACTGTAACCAAAAAATCTAAAAAATATATGAACACAGTTATTTTTTACAGACATTTTAAATTCAAATTTGGACGAAATTACATTTTAAAAAACCTAGAATAACTATTTTAGTTATTTTGTTGTGATTGAATAATATTATTCGTGGGTACTTGAAACTTCTAAAGTGTACTATTATATATCTATGATAGTATCACGGTTTTTGTTGATGTATAACGCGTTATAAGTACCTAATGGATATTGTGATATGAATAATTTGGAATTTATTATAGGTACCTATTATAGTTCAAATTTTGGTTTAGTACCATAGATAATAGATATGTATATAATATGTCTTATACCTAGACTGACATACCGTCTCCGCTCAGCATCGTTTTTCTTATACAATGATATTATATCGTTGAATTCAAATTTAATATCATCCATTATACAGTGACCCACTTGTAACCTACTGTACAGCAGAGCGACACCCACTTGCCCACCTTTTTTTATACTTAATTCGAAGCCGCCGGTGTGCGGTTTATATTCGTGCGCCGTCCGAAGCGGTCGCAATATCGATCGAAAAATAAACTCCCGACCGGACTTTTTTGCCGATTTTTTCCTGTTCTCCCACCGTTTCGTCTATTCGCACGCCGTTTGTGCCCGAATCGTGTAGTCGACGTCTTTTTAAAGCCGTTTATATGGGCTTTTCCCCCGAAATCGGTTCGTTCGCCTCGCAATCGTGTTTAGAAATTACGCCGGCGACCGACCGACCGTACGCGTATATATACATGTATACTGCCGCGATAAGCGAAAACAGGATAACTCCAGTTAACATGATTATTGAGAAACACCAAATAACGTTTTCAACAGTAAATCAAGCCTAGAAAGAGTGTTTATTAAAAAAATTGGTCAAACCTTGTGCAGATATATCTAATTTTACATCTAGTATTGGTTGAACACTTTTTATTTTAACTTTATTGAATTTTTTAAGGAGAAAATGGACTTATCGTAAAATCAATATCGGACTAACTAAGCGAAAAATTGATAACTCCATAATAATGGACTTACCGGGTTATTGCTTAGACTTTTTTGGATATACCATATTTAAGTCTATGATCATACAACATTGTTTGTATGTAAAAAAATGTGTAACTCCAATTTTATCAAACAAATAATTTTAATTTTTTTCATTATAAAAAAATTATTACAAAATAATTAGACTTTTATTTTAGTATATTAAATATTTAAAAAACAAAATAAAACAATACCTTTTAGGTGGTCATCACCAAAAACAATTAAAATAAATGAAATCTTAAACAACAAAATAAATATTTTTTTAGTATAAACTTTACTGTTAAAAATAAAATGAAACAAAATTTAAATTTATGTTAACAATATTGGTTCCTATCACAATATTATATATCACATTACTTTTGCAGTTTCTAATTTTCAGGTTTTTCATATAAATCATTAACTGTATCTGATGTAGGAATATCAAACCAAAATTGTTGTCTACTCTTTGGCATAAGCGGGACTAGTGTTTTTATAATACTTTTTTTTTTTCCGGATGAATACCCCTTAATTCATTTTTTTGTTGAGGTTTTTCAATATCTTTTTTAATGAATGATAGTTTTAAGAAGTCAAGCATTTGGTACGGAGTATACTCATCATATGTACATTTGTATAAGTTATTATAATGAATAGTAATAGTTATAAAATACTCAAAGCGAGACAGTGTTGTATTACATTATTACATTATAATTTATATAATTTAATATTTTTAAACTAAGCGTTTGATCGTATTATCATGATAATAAATGATAAGGATAAATAGGTACAGTGATGTCGAGACCATAATTATATTCTTAACAATATCAGTTTAGTAAATTACAAAATAATATAGCAAATAATCATTGTTTTTAATTTATAAAATGTGACTAAATGTTGTGTCATGTACATACCCTTTTTTTGTAACGTATGAACATAAGCCAAAACACAGTAACTCCATTCTTTTTCATGTGATATACCGAGTTTTTGCTTAGTATTTGGATTTACCGTGTTTTCGTTTAGAAAACATCAAATATACTGGACTTACCGCATATTTGCTTATTTTAAATTTCATTTTAAGATGG